GCTTGAGTTATTTGTGGAGATAAAACATCTGTGTTGCTGTAAGTGGTAGAGGCATCTTGCTGTCATCCCAGGAGAGACGATTAAATATCAACAAATAAGTCCCTAAAACCTGCCGCCTAAAGCTCATTGATCTGGCTCACTTCTAATTCCTGGAAATGGTGCACCAGTGATTTTTGCTCCCAAGTACAACTTACAAGACAATCCTACTAGAGACCACTGCAAATGTATTGATTAAATGAGTGTTCGACACCTTTAAAGTCTTTAGCGTTGCTTTCATGATTTTAATAAATGTCTGGAATGATTTTAGGAGACACCAAAATCATTTATAATGAATGAGGAAAGAACATGCACTAGATGTTTACAGGGAGTAACACGGATCTGCTTTCCTTTGCCTGTGTTTTAATTAAAGAATAATGAGCTGTTGCCAGAAGTGTACCCCTCAACTGATGCTGACACAAGCATTTTGAAATGTAATAATAGAAAAACTTACAAAACTGGTTGTTTTCTTCTTTGTTTTTTAAGATCCAGTAAAAAGAAAAACACTCAGGAAACTTGTTTTACGGTAAATATTTATACGAACCAGCTAGAGTATTGTTAAGGTTGGCTGCACTAAAGTATGTGAGATGGAACAAGCATGCACATGGACAAGGTTCTTATCGTCTTGGCACAGGATTTCTCCTCCATCAGGGGGTAATCTCGCAGCACACCACCGGGATGGAGAGGCAGACAGTGTCTGTGTGAAAAGTGCAGCGGCTGCTCTCCTTCTCGCCTGTCTCATACATAAATAACATGACGCAAAAGGGTGGAAGAGACCCTCAGGCCAGGATTTAAAATCAGCTTACCACCTCCTAAATCTTAACCTTAATCTTTACGGTGAAGTAGCTTCAATCTGACCTCAGATCATCATCGAACCCTTAGTCATTTCATCCAGCAGCTCCCAAGCTAAAGCTCAGTAACTTCGGGCTTAGATATAATGGAGCAGATGTATTCTTGAAGCATCTTGTCATTCAGGAGATGACATTGTGTTCGTCTTCTGCAGAATTTCACAAATTAGTGACTTTTGCTTTTATTAGAAATAAAAATTTTAAACTAGTTAAAATGCCTACGTGGTGTGTTAGAGAGACGTGCATCCGAACGCAGTGCTTGTGGGGATTACTGAAAATTTCCAGATCATAAACTGTCAGGATTTTGTGCAATTAAAGAGAAAAACTAACTAAAAGAAAAACATTAGGAGAAAAATCCTATCAAACTGGTGGATAAGCTGCCTTTTTAATTGTGGCAATCTGATTCAAGATTAATTTGGTATTTGGTCAGATTATTAGCTTTGTGCAGCAGATTAATCAGAGTCTTTACAAACAAGCAAAAGAATAAAGAAATCCGTAAAATGAGTGTTAAAGCAGGGAGTCTGAAAGGTTTTTTTTTTTCATTTGGAACATCACTTTTATAAGCTATTTAAAAGAAAACACTAGATTTAAATACAATTTTAAATGTTTGACAGAAAAAAACTTTTGTAATCATTTTTTAACTGCATTAGCTTTTGATAGAAAATAGACAATGAAACTCTAGGATTTGAAAATCCTCACAGATCTATGTCGCACTGTAACTTAATGTTCATTGAATCACCGACCTTGAGTCACAATGTGGTTGTTCTTACGTCTGGGAATCCGCAGCAGATGTATCAGCTAGTTTAAGCTAACTGTTAGCATTTGCAACTTCAACTCATGGCAGAAGCTCCTCCAGGCTTTGTGGGGATAAAACATCCATGTTGCAAGTCAGTGGTAGAGTCACGTTGCTGTTATCCAATCTGGGACGAGATGTCCAACTATCAGGAAATAAGACTTCAAATCCAGTTGTGTTAAGCCCTCCTGTGATGTTGCAGACTTGGCCCTGCTGATCCAGCTGTTTGTGGGCATTGTTGTACCCTGAGTACTGCCTGCAATGCATTCTTTCCTAGACCACTTCAAATGTAATTATTGAAAGAGCAGTCCACACCTTTAAACTTCAATTTTCAATCCCTTTAAAGATTTGTGACTATGAGGCTTTTTAGTTTATCACACGTCAAATGTGGTTATAATAAAAGGCTTTTTGAACAGCTGTTGAACCAAAATCACAGTGATACTTTTGTTGTATGAAAATGAGTTTAATAATTCCCTATTAAAAAAAAAAGGTTATTTTTTTCTTTGTTCTGTTCCAATTTGATTGCATTTAACAAGGTTTTCAATAAAATATGGAAACATGAATAGTGCAACAAAGCACGAAGAGAGAGCAAACATTTCTGTACAAGTCATCATGTTAATAGAGCCTTCTAGACAATAACTGCTGTTCAATTGAACCTCACATAAAAGCATAAATATGGCTTTATGAGATGAAAAGGCCACTTTTTGTCTTCTCGGTAAACAAGTGAAGACTAAAATAGAACATAATTTTAGCCAAATAGCAAAGATAAAAAGTGCACACATCACTTCTCAAAAAAAAGCCATTTTTCTTCTAAAAAGAGGAAGATAATGACACCATTTACTCACTATAGTAGCTTTCCATCCTACTGGTATTTTGCTGCAGCATCTGAAGGTGTTTATATATATCATGGGTTGGCAGTTGCAGCAGGCAACCTGCCAAGACGGCATCAAAAGAAAGGTTCTGGTGTTGGATTGTGGACATCACAGCAGTATCAGAAACCTGGCACTCTGATGAGGGACCACAGGAAGCTGGACTCAGTCACAACATCTGGATCTGTTTCATCGTATTTTAGTAACTGTTCAAAAAAGCATGACATGCATGTTTATTGTGCATTTTATGCTTCTGTGTGAGTTTAATTGTGAGAATGTGCCTGTTGAATAGTAAGGTGGGAATGTTATTTTATACATGGAAAATATTGTCTGAAATATTGTTACTAAAGGCTTCAAAAATGGGGAAACGTGGTCTTTTGATTTGTGTTAGAGTACAAATATTATGAACATTTACTGCTTGTTGTAGAAGGCTACTTGATCCATCTAGAGTAAAAGAATAGAGAAATGTGTTTTTTCTTCCTCAGTGTTAAAAATTGATCACCAAGTAGGAAATAAATTTTAAAGGCTAAATTAACTGAGAAAGCATTTTTTTGTTGTTGTTGTTTTGTGATCGAGGGCAGCAGTAACTCAGGAGGTAGAGCGGGTTGTCCAGTAATCAGAAGGTTGCAGGGTCAATCCCAGCTACTGCCAGAGAATGCTGCTGTTGTGTCCTTGGGCAAGACACTTAATCCCCTTTGCCTGCTGGTGGCGGTCAGAGGAACTGGTGGTGCCTGTGCTCGGAAGCCATACCTCAATCAGGCAGTCACAGGGTGTGTGTGAATGAATGAAGAATACACTGTAATCCAAATTGCTTTTACCCCATTTCTAAAACATAGACAGGAAAAGCTTAGATTAGAAAAGCCGTTGAGATTAGCACGTCACAATGTCAAATAGCACTCATTGACCCATCTTGACTTGCGACAGAGAAGGCGGTTGTTGATTTAGCGTCCAGGAAACCGCAGAGAACATCTCAGCTAGTAGAAGCTAACCATTAGCATTAGCTGTGGTGGAGATACAACGTTGCAAAGCAAATGGAGTCAGTAGAACGTGAGAGCTTTTTTCCCACAGAGATTAATTCTCAAGGCATTCATTTCTACTAGAGACCATTGCAAATGTGTTGTAAAAATAAGTCAACTTGGTCTTTAAAATCAGCCTCAATGTGAAGCCGGTTTTCTTTTTCTCAGAAAGGAAGGCTGTGTTGAATTTTACATCCAGGCAGCTACCTGTTAGCATTTGCATCTCCACAACATGGCAGAACTCCTTCATGCTTGTGTTATTTGCGGGTCTGAAAACAAGCTAGGTTATGAACACAAAAATGGAACACTCCCTTCACCTCGGGTATCTTCCCTGAAACACTTCTACCAGAACAGGAAACAAGATAGCGCAGAACACCAGTCACTGTTTCTACGTCCAAATGTCTTTTCTTGTCCGTGACTTTAAATGATGTTTTTTCTTTTTGGGATTCCGGTAGTCGGCTGTTTCTCCTCTGGTATTATTGAGCAGAGAACCTCTCACAGCAGTGGTGTTCTGTTGCTAAGTACGAGAGTGAGTGGAGGGCCGAGGGAAGTGCAGAAGTGCGGTGGTTTGGTCAAATGGTTCCAGATGGTCTGATGGTTGCTTTATATAAATGCAGAAGAACCACTTTATTTATTTATTTATTTATTTATTTATTTTTATCTCCACAATATATTTAACTATACTATGTGTTAAAAGGCATGAAAAACAAAGTTTAAGCTAATTTGTTTCCCAAATTTGCTATGGCAGTGCTAGCTTTCACTGCTGTTGCTTCCTGCTGATGAGCTCATACCTGTCTTCAGCCAGTCATTACCCAATAATCCATTTTAATCCCTCTGCTTCAAGCATCCTTGCTTGTTCTCCTAGTTTTTGGTGCTGCCATGTTAGCTGTGTATATTGACTGTTTTTGGTTGCTTCAGCTCTCTGCCTCTTCTGTCTGATGTTTGGGTCCAATAAAACCCACACCTCAGTTTGGACCAGACTGACAAGCCAACAGCTAGCAACAGTACAGCTAGTTACACTAACCTCAAACGTTTCATAGTAGAACACGAGAACCCATTTAAAAATAAACATTTGTCAGCTACAGCTTATTAATTGCTGCTGCAACAATTAAATGAATTGTTTGAATGTGACGCTTCACGTGTAAATGATTAGAGAAGTGTTGCTCACATGGTTGGTCTTTCTGTGTTTCTGGTATCTTTTGCTTCATGACCATGGGTCATCTTTGACCACATCAACATTAACAACATGCTGGTCAGTCAAGCTGAAACCAAAGAGTTTGTTCGATCCGTGGTTATAAATGAGCTCTGGGTTCTGAGGCCTTTCCTGTTGCTGTCCGTCTCTTCCTGCCTCCACTCTGCTGTTTTCCCTTCCCTCTATGCATGTCTGACTGCGTCTCCTCAGCGTAGCTAATAGAGCTATTTCCCCCTGTAATTGCAGCAGGTCAGACCCAAAGACAGCAGAAGCCTAGTGTCCCCCCTCTCCTCTCCATCACCTTCCAGATTACAGGTAGGTGATTTTAGCCATGTTGATAAAGAAGCTTTAGCCTTTTCCTGATCTCTGCCTCCCAGCTCTGACTTCTTGTTTTAATGCCACCTTTTATCCTCCTCTCCTTTCTTCTATTCCTACTCTGCACTCTTCTCTCTGATCTCCTCTCTTCACCTCCACCACTGATCACTCCTCCACCCTCAGTCACTTCCTTCTTTCTGTTCTTTTTATTCTATCTTTTGCATTCTCATCTTTCAGCTCTGTTTCTTTTTGTCTTTCACCCTTATCTCCTCCATCTACCCATCCTGATGACGTTCTCTCCTTGTCGTTCCTCTCACTTTTTCCTCCTGGGTTCCTCTTTCCCTCCCTCCTTTTCACCCGTTTGAACATAACATGGTTTCACAAGATGAAAATCTCAAAGAACTAATTCAAATATTGATTTCTGAAGCCCTTTTAAAAGCACTCGCAGGCTGTTAAGCTTTATTTTTCTAATAACTTCAAGTGTTGGCAAGATTTCGATTTCTGCAAAGTTACAAGCTCAGGCTGAAGCTTTACCTTTGGTGTTTAGTGTTGACGCTGAATCAAGTGAAGGAGAAAACATTTCTACAAAAAACTTCTGTTGCATTTGGAAAAAGTCACGGAGAGACTATGAGGGGAACTTTATTCCCACAAAAACCTTCTTCTACCTTTGCAGACTAAATCAGATCTCACATGAGGGATTTCTGCTCTCCGTTGTCAGTTTAGTACAGAAACATGAGCTCAATGGAGAGCCAGCTACAAATGGACTCTCAGATTTTTCTTTTCTCTTTCAAACATCAAGACAGCTCCATTGGTCTTCAGTTTAATACTTATTAATGCATCAATGTGACGACTGAAGTCGCCAGGTCCCCAGTAATGCATGGATTAACAGCGGATCAACAAACGTAGTATTTGACTTTCCGTTTATGTTTAACAGGGATTTAGACGTTTTGCATTTCAAAAGCTCCAACTTGTCTTCACCATTCTCAGGGATTTATGATTCGTCTCTCCTGGCTACGTGAAACTTCAAACTCTTGTAGGAACAGTCGGAATAATGCAAATAAAGAGCCTCGGGTTGAACATGTATCGAAATGTTATTGTAAGAATATTGAAATACTCTTGTCTAAAAAGTATATTTGAAAAGAGATCCATCAGTGCTCAGACACCCCTACGGTGCAAATCTTCATCCTGCAACATCTGCTGCCTGAGTTTAGTTGAATTTCTTTATAAAGCTGAAGCATACTGTCCCTGGTACAACAGATGGTGCCAATTCAGGCTTTTGCTTTTCTCCAGCAGCTTTATAATTAAAACAAAACCCAGTCTTGTCACAGTAACAGGTCCTGATGGAGCAGCTACAGCATTATAAGTTGATTACAGTGACTTAAGCTAAAGCAGCTGTAATTATTTGAGAAAAACACATGTTAAATTATGAAGTCCATTAAAATGCTCAGCAAGACTTCCAGTCACCAGATGAAAACCTTGTCATATTTTTCTAGATGACGTTTCAGCTGCATGAACGGGCCTGTGCCTCGTCGGTCCCGTGGGGATAAACGTCTGATTGGTGAACAAACTGATGAGATGCAGACTTGTGGTTGCAAAAAATTAAATATCTAACTGCATTAAGGGTCTAGTGTAGATTTTTCTGCACCGTTTGGTGCACTTTCTTCGAGGCCACACATTTAAAGACTTTATTTTATTCAGGACTAGCACACCAACATGTTCCTTGTACTGAGTGGATGTTGGAGAGAAAATCTGTAAATGAAGCATCTGGATGTTTGCTTCTGCATCTGCTGAATCATTTGATTTTTCATTCCAATCCTCTTATCTTCTGCTGGTATTTATTGGTTTGTTTAAATGGCACAAAGGAGGATTCACACTTGCTAATAAAGGATGCTACAGTGTGCTACTTGCAGAAGTGATTTTTTTTTCTATTAATAAATCAGGACGTGTTGTTTCCTGGCAACATGTGCCAGAAGGATGGTGTGTCCCATTCTTTTATAGTTCATACCTGTCTGAGCTCAGTGCCGTTAACCCACGTTGAAGTGCGTTACTGTGACATCAAACATGCTGCGTGAAGTTCTGGTTGAGAACTGAATGTGCATAGTGTGTGTTCCATGGACAGATGGAGAAACAGATCTTTAAAAATTGGGTTTCATCCATAAATTTTCTTCCGCTTGTCTAAGATTGGGTCACTGAGGTAACAGGTCCTGAGAAGGGAGTCTGTACATCCCTCTTCTTATATCCCTTAGGGGGGTTCCAAGACATTCCAAGGGTCAGAGAGTATACATATATACTGTGTTTCCACTGTTGGAACCTCCAGGAAACTTCTGGGAGGGAGAAAAGTGACCAGGAGATATAATGGCTTGGTCCTCTCAGCCGTCATGCGCCAAAAGGCATCCCAGGTTTCGGCACCAGTTTTTTGTTGGTGTTTGGTCCAGGATCCGGTCCGTGACTGGCTGCAGCTTGATCGGATCCGGCTGGCACGTACTTTTCCTCACAAGGGAGATACTCAGAGAGCACTTCAACCATGGCGATTAACTTTAATTCAGTGGTACTTCAATAAAAACGATGAGACAGTGATTCAGTTTTAACATGATCTAATATAGATCACCGCTGGCGCCATACCTTTAACCCTCTCAGGCTCAAAATGAATTTTGATAAAAGGATGAACAACTAAGTCCTTCAGGGGTACTTCTAAGTTAAAAAATGCTCAAGAAACATGTGTGTGGAGTAACCAGGTAGGTAGGCTTTAATGTTGCAAATCTGCAATGCCTGCCTCCAGAGGCTTAATCCATTCGGGGGACTGAAGAGCAGTTGTGTGATGTAAAAAGCGTCATCAGTGACCAGAAGAGATGCCGTTCTTTTACGGTGCTTTGTATTGCCGTGAATTTTGGTGTTGTGGGGGAAGTTTTTGTCAGTTTTTGCTGTTGCAGATCTTGACCCATTCCTATGTACTGATCCACAGCTATGCTCTATGCATCAGATAGTCTGGGGCTGTGCGTTCCTGTAGCATTTCCCTGTTTTTCTATTTACACCAAGTTAAATTGAAGCTTCCGACATAGTTTTTTTACTTCTTTACTACCTTAAGTAACATCCATAAGATTTGAGTGAGTTTCTCCGTACGTCCCTCCCCTGGGGAAAATGAATCAGTCTGGTCTAAGGGTCCTCGCAGACTGCAGCCAGTGATGAATTGGACCCTTTGGATCCAAAAAACAAGTTAAATATAAATTTGAAAATCTATTATCATACGCACTGAAAACATCTTCTCCTTTCCAATTCAATTCTCTTGGAAGCAAAGCAGCAATAATTATGCCACAATTGTAATTATAGGCCTTCATCAGCTGTTTATCAGTGTGACTTCTTGCCTCTCACCTCCGCTTGAAGGTGGAGGTATGATCAGTCTGGGCTGGGAGTGGGTGGAGACCTTGAGGACTGTGGTAGTAAGTGCTTTTCAGAGAGATCATCGGATTCCTGGTGATCTTTTCAGCACTCTTGGCCCTCTCTGCAGGTGTTTGTGGTCCGTAGCAGAAGTGCTGCCAAGCCCTCCAGGTGGTGCAGCTCAGAAGATGCTTAGTTTTAGTTTGTGACCTCTAAATGTGGTTTCACAGATCCACATTTGAAGTTCCGTCTGTTGAAGTTCAACTGGACAGAGTTGTGAAAGATCAAATTCTTTGCATCAACAAGGGATCCAAACAAAGTCAGAATCTGCTGCAGCTCTTTATGGCTCCGCTCCACTGGTCCACGTTGGGTGGTCGTCACTTTGTTTTGCGTTGAAGATAACATCTCTGCTTTATGGAAATTCATCAGTGAGAGCTGAAGGACTTTGTAACAACAGTGTGGCACAGTGAGAGGAAGAAGATGCTAAATTAGACCTAATGGAATAAACATGAGCTGAGACCTCTCCGCTGTTCTCCACCAGTTCCAGCGTGGTGTTGGATCTCCTCCACACCTCCACCGAGAGCTGGAAGGCAGATGTTTTATGTTGCCAACAAGGTGCTGCATGAGATAATCAATGCTAATTTATCATTCTGGCATGCTGACGGTGAGGGGATAAACCAAACAAGAGGATAACAGACTCCCTCTTTAGGTTTAATCTGATGTCTGTTGGGACTTTTTATGCCAGAACATAAAGTAAATAATTATTCCTGCACCCCTGTTGATGAGAATGCTTCACAATCACTTATTTTTACACCCAACATCTTTTTCTGTGCTTTGTATTTTTTTTTATCTGTGCAGCCTCTCGCCCAGTGGAAAACAAACTATGCAAAGGTCCGATCCCGAACCGATCCCAGCTGTGCCAAATCCCCTGTCCCATCGACTGCGAAGTGTCGCCATGGGGCGCCTGGGGGCCGTGCATCTTCGAAAACTGTGATGATCAGACCGGAAAGAAAGGTAACAAATGGTTAACGTTTGTTGTGTTTATGCTTTTTTTTTAGCTTTGATAAAGATTTATTTACCTGATCTTGTTACATTAGAGGAGCCCACAGAACACTTCCGGAAGCTGCAAGTCGTTTAGTTGAAACTATTTCTACTAATTATCCTTTAACTGGATTTTAATCATATTTCTAGTAGTCATTACATCACATCACATCAGAGCAGAACAAGATTAATGAAAGCCGAAGCTCAGAACATGTAGAGATGCTGCACGTCCGTCCTTACTGAGCTTTCAGAGAAAATTCACTGTGATACTGGAATATCGAGCAAGACCTCAGATCAGTTTTAGGGGAAACAATCAGTTTTAAAACAGATTTTTTAACATATTTATTCTAACATTTTATTTTATTATTACTTTTATTTGAATAAAAAAAATGTGAAATATTTATTTTGTTTTTATTTGTTTACATTTTTTTAAATCAAATCCAACATCACAAAGTTTGACTGAATCAGTTTTTTAACTCTAAATACAAAAATTTACTTAGTTAAATTCAATTGGTTGCAAATTACTCTCACTTTTTTTTTTGTGAAGAAGCCAACAGATTTAGAAGGTTCCTGTTGCATAAACCTTAAAGGTGTGGCTTACTCATGTATTCAATACATTTGCAGTGTTCTCTAGTGTAAACCAACTCCTTATGAGTCATTTTAAGAATAGCTATGATCCTGTTCTGGGATGCAGAAGTCAGCTGGTGCAGAAGCGGACTAAAAACAGCAGGGTTGCTCATTATTATTAATGATATGCACACAGCTCACTTCTGATTGGCTAACAGAATGTGTTCAGCCATGTTGCAAAATCACTATCACCAAGTCACTCTGCTCTCTCTCCTCGCTGCAAAAATTTAAAAAAGCCATCCTGTTAGCGGGCGTGAGCCAAGATGGGTGAGGCCATGAATGCAAATTCACAGTGTGACATAGATATGTGAGAATGTTAGAAATCCTAGCATTTCACCATCTATTTTTGGACAAATTAATGCAGGAGATAGGTGCAGGAGACTGTTTTCGGGTTCAGCCTGCATGAAAAACCTCAGAGTGACCCATTATAATCAGAAAAAAAATGTTTTTAAATTATTTTTTTGGGCAGCCACACCTTTAACTCCCAAATCAAACCCCTTAAAGCTGAGTATCATGCAGGGAGTCATTGGGTCCCATTTGAGAAGTCTTTGGTATGACCCGACCCAGATTTGAACCCCAATCTCTGAGTTCCGAAGCAGACACTCTACCACTAGGCCACTAAGAAGGTAATGAAGGTATGAAGAAGGTTTGAGGTGAAGGAAGTTATTTAAGATTTTCTATCTGACCGCAGGTTTCAAATTGAGGAAACGACGCATCACAAATAAACCAACGGGAGGTCCAGGAAACTGCCCGCACCTCGTGGAGGCCATGCCGTGCGACGATCCCAGTTGTTACAACTGGCAGCTGGTCAGTCTGGATAAATGTATTCCTGGTGATGGGAAGCAGTGCGGCGCTGGTTCACAGATGCCACAGGTCTGGTGCATCAACAGCAACGGTGAGAGGAGGACATTTTAAACCTCATTCAAGCAGATTGATGAGCTGAGCAAATGCAAATGATGCTTATTAGTCACGATTTCAGAGTCATTAAACGCTTTAGAGGTGGCGTTGGAGGGACATTATCGTCCCTGTATTGGTTGCATTTTTGACCCACCTCCAATTACAAGTGCGAAGAGCAGGTCAGACCTCCATTTAAAAAATCTATATCACCAAGGTCGGCTGACCCACTTGGATTAGTTCAGCTGTGCTGCACGTTTCTATGAAACCAATCCTGGTTTCCATTTATCACCACGAGGACTCCTCTCCACTCTCCTCTTCCTCTCACTCTGTTAAACCTCTCCTGCTGTAACGCCTGCTTGATTTGGATTCACCACCCCTCTCCCGCTGTCTGTCTCATTACAGTCTTCCTCGCTGCACGCACAATTAAACCTCACTAGCAGCAAATCACATCAATCCTCTAAAGCCCTGAGTGTTGGAGTAGCTTCCTCTGCTGCTCTACATTATCACTGCTGCTCCTTACTACTGTAAATGTTTCATGTAGGGCAAGCAAAGTAGAGATAGTTTACTTTCTAAGTGTTATATTGAGTCCTTGTGAATAAAAGAAGGATTTGATGCGCTCTTAAGCACCAAGTTTTTACTTGTTAAGTGAAATGAACAGAAATTAGACGTGCAGATGTGAAATGAGTCAGAACCAGCAGCGTTTATACCTTCTGAGGCTTCTCTCCACTGTGAGCCAATATTCTCCCAGACTGTAGGGGGCAGCATAGGACTGTATGGCGTGCATCCAACAATACACCATAGTTGAAATCACAACACATTTTCACTGTGTCCTTGTCTTTTTTGACTGTGACAGCAGTTGTCAACAATGGGTTGAATCATAAAGATGACTGTACTTACGAACCTCCACCACTATGAGCTCTTGCCAGTCCGCCATGTTTTTTCACGCCGGACCATCCGTGTGTTTCGAACATTTTCCAGGTGCATGGTGCAGAAACTTTGGGCTGTGCGGAGAGGCGTGGTTGCTGAAATGATGTAATTTGGCCCCGTGGAGCCATGCGGACCTCACTGATGCATCAAGCATAAACCAAGCTTGAGGCTGCTCGGTTGTGGCAAAAATTATAATCATGATTATTTTTGAGATCTTGTTCATTTAAGGTGATCTTTTAATTAACATCGAAACCACAAATACTCTAAGTACTGATGACGAAAAACTCCTATGTTGTAGTGAACTTCCACAACTTACAGCGTAATAATTATGTAACCCTGTCCAGTGGTGCCGTAAGGGAGCGATGCAACATGTAGCTAGGATAGATGAACTAAATGGTCTGTATTTGATATAGCGCCTTCTAGAGTCCAGGAACCCCTCCCCCCCCAAGGTGCTTTACAACACAATCAGTCATTCACCCATTCACACACACATTCAGACGCTGGTGGTGATTAGCTACATTGTAGTCACAGCTGCCCTGGGTCCCTCCGACCACCACCAGCAGGCAAGGTCGTTTAAGTGTCTTGCCCAAGGACACAACGACAGCGACAACTGAGTGGGGGTCGAACCTGCAACCTCCTGATTGCGGGGCGAGCACTTAACTCCTGTGCCACCGTCACCCACTTATTATTTATCAGCCTGAGAAATTGTAGTAGTGGCGTGAGAGGGTTGAAGACAGTGAAATGATTGTCTCATGCTCACTTCATGAGAATGTGCAGCCCTGATAAAATATGAATGCGCTTCAGATATGGCTGGCCGTGTCTTAAATTTATTTAGCTTGTAAAATAACTGGTTTTGTGAGATCCACCGAGAAAGGTTTATGATCGGTCAGTCGGTGTAATGTGATCATGCACATGTGCACTCATTCCCTTTCCTGATGTCCAGAAAGACGTTGTGGCGCGCAGGGCAGTTGTTTTGCTAGCCTGCAGGAAATATCGACGACAAATTTCTACAGAAAGTTGAAAAAGGGTCATCAGAAATGTTGCTAGGTGGTTTTCTAGGTGCTTGGGGGGAGTTGTTAGAAATAGCAAGCTAGTAACAATTCATTGGAGGTGTGCTCGATTTGCAACTTGGAGCAGCGCAAGAGCAATCTGTGAGTGAGGAGCAAATAATGGTCTCATTTTGTTTTCATAAACGTTCAAAGCCCAGATCCCTAAGTCACACTGTAAAAGTAAAAGTAGTGAATTTGTTGTTGCGCTTTTCAATTTGTTGTACGGTTAGTGATTTGTTTTTGCGCTCAGTGATTTTTTGTTGCATTTAGTGAATTTGTTTTTGCACTTTTCAATTTGTTGTGCGTTTTGTGATTTGTTTTTGCATTAAGTGATTTGTTGTTGCATGTTTCAATTTGTTGTTGCGTTAAGTGATTTGTTTTTGTGGTTTGCGCTTCAGGGCTACCGTATTATATAGTATTTAAGATGCTAAATAAGTAACGTTGGACTTGTTAGTTGCAGGCAAGTGACAAACTGGCTCCAGGAAGTAACCTGTGAGTATTGGTAAAGGATCGAATTCTGTGCAGGTATTCCATGACGCAGGAGCAGCAGAAGCAGTTTTTCTCCTTGTGACTTTTGATCTGATGCACATCCAGCCCTCATCTGATGAAAATTGAGTTGTTCTGTTTGGGTTTTCGATCCGCTTTTCGCCTCAGTGATTTTTCACCGCGACATTGGCTGTATCTCTGCTCCGAGTGTGTTCCAGTCATAAAAGAAAAGGCCACCCAGTCCAGCCCTAGACAGCAGGCGAAGGTCGATACAAATGTTATTGAAACTGGTTATTGATATTCCCAATGCCGACTGCCTGGCCACTTAGGCAGCGAGCCGTTTCTCCTCTGCATACTGAGCGTGGAGGTTTTCCTCTCATAGTGGGTGTTCTGTTCATTCGTGTCTCTTTGCGAGAGCCTGAAAATTCTCCGGTCCCTTGTCTTTTCTTATTTTCATGCGTTCTCATTTCAGTCATGATTGGTTCACTGCACATCTGTCAAAGTGACATCTCAATATGAAGTCTACTACGTCTGACTTCTGAAGCCTCTTTGGCTTGAAATTTCAACAGAAAGGTTTAAAATTTCCTGGGTGTACGTATCACTTAACTGCACCGTTTATGGCAGCACATGAAGCAACACTGACAGATATGTGGGTTAATATAGCCCACTTAAAGCTGCTACTTGGAGCTCATCAATAAAACATGAACCACAGTGTAAAAACGCGGGCATCTTATGTGAGTCCTCACTTTCACTGCTCAGCACTTGTTTTTATATATTTCCTGAAGCCAAGGGTCCATCATTATGAATATTTTATAGATTAATTAATATTAAAAAATCTTATATCAAAATGGAAAGCAGTAATGACTTTTTATGTTTCACCAGGGATTTAAATAAGGGAACAGTTGTAGGTAAATCTGCGGGCAGCGTAACCGAAATGCTTCAAACTTTCAGTCCGACTTTAGATATTTTTAAGCTTTACTAATTCAGAGCTTTCATTTAACATTACTCACGTGTATTAATCGGTTCATTTTCCTGTTCTTTAAACTCATTAGAACTGAGTCTGAATCTTTAAAGCAGTGCAAGGGGAAAAAAACAACAAATCTGAACAGCATCATAAACGTTTGATCATCTTTAAAAATATATTTTTTAGAGTTTTTGTTCTAGGCAAATTTAGATGATTGCTTCATTGCAATGGAGATTATGTTTAAAGATAGAATGTGTTACTGGAAAAAGCCGTTCCAGCAAGCTACATTAAAAAAAACACAATTCAAAGGTCCAACCCTCTTTTGTCAGGCCCCGCCCCTAAGCCACGCCTCAAGGATACAGGAGAATGCCGTGCACAGTGAATACTGTCAAACAACCAGGGATGTCCAGATCCAATCACGTTAAGTCTTAGAAATGTGGCTTTTAAATGAAGAACAACTAGCAACACATTTAGCAAAGTAGCTGCCGCTAAAACTTGTAATTAGTATCTTTGCTTGGTTTTGTTTCCATGAGTCACTTTCAGAGGAGCTTGTGGGCCATGAAAGAAACATTTCACAGAGTTGAGATTAATAGAGAAATGAGAATACAACAAATACAAATACAACATTTGTGTGACTGTTAGGGGAAAGTTTTCCTCCTGCAAAAATACCAATTAAACAGAAATTTTGCTGAATGTTTCCAGCCTCATGAAAATCTTCCACTCAGTTCCTGTTTTTCTTTTTCACAGGGGAACCGGTAGACAGAAATCTCTGCATATCTTCAAAAGCTCCAGAGCCCGAGCCTTGTGAGGTGCCTTGCTCAAGAGACTGTGTCCTCAGTGACTGGACGTCGTGGTCCACCTGCTCCCAGACCTGCTCCAGCAAAACCATCGAGGGGAAGCAAATGAGGACACGTTCCATTCTGGCCTACAACGCTGGGGAAGGTGAGACTAAATTGCAGCTTTTTCTCAGCCTTTCAAGTCGTCCTTTCCTGTCACTCACTAAACGTGGGATTTCACACTTGTCTGCTTGTGCATTTTGTCCCTTATCTCCCATAGTGTGCTTATCTGTGCTAGTGATTATTTCTGTTTGTCCGTCTTCTCGCCTGACACTCACTTTGTATCTCTCTCTCAGATCGTTTCTGTGTATGCGTGTTTTTTAAAGCTCGGCGTGCATCGGGCTTGTTTGTCTTGTCTCTCTGTCCTCTCGTCTTATCTGGGCGTGTGTTTCCCTCACAGTCACTGCAATGGTTGTGGCGTGGATCACAGTGATGGAGGGTAACAATTGTAATGAAAGATTCCTGGTAGAAGTTTAAAACCTCTAGCTGTGTGTTTGGATATGGACGAGTGAAAATAGTTGCTTTGTTTGTTGCACTGACACACGCTAACGTAGCACCTGTATGGTGGCTTCTAGCTGATTTAGCTTCACATCGGGTCTTGTTGGTAATGTGTGAATTAAGCTTGGTTTATGCTTGACGCATTTACTTTCCGCGCGGTGATGCGGCTTGCGGTTGGAACGCGCTTTACAACTCGCAGCGTTTATGGTTCGTGCGGCTCGTCTCTGCGGTGAGCCAATGTTCTCCCAAACTGAACGGGGCAGCATGGAGCTCTATGGCATGCATCCAACACTACACCATAGTAGAAGTAGAAATTACTGTTGTTTACAACATGACATTCCAGCATTTTTAACAGTGTCCTCGTCTTTTCCGACAGTGCGAGCTATTTCTCTCCAAGAATTATTAACTACATGTTGATCACGGTGATCTCTGAGAGCTGAATCATACAAATGTCTGTATTTACGAACCTCTGCCATACTAGTTCTTGCCGGTCCGCCATGTTTTTCCGCATCCGACCGTCCTCGTGGTTAGAAAATTTCCGAGGTGCGTGTTGCGGAAATCTTGGGCCGTGCGGAGACACGGAGGAGGGGCGTGGTTGTTAAAATGACGCAAAATGACGCAACTTTTCCGCGTGGAGCCGCGTGGACCTTGCGGACGCATCAAGCATAAACCAACCTTTAGCTTGATTGTGTTGGTGTTTCTGTCGTCCTGCTGTAGTTTTACTTCATGTTGTACATAACAAATTTGTCACATTAATATTTTTTACTTCTGTTTCATCAAAGGTCTGTCACGAGTTCCCAAGTTTCCAGAACTTTTCGGTAATCGCTTTGACTCTTTGTAGCAGTGGAAGCTGTTTAGGGTTCATAAACTCTAGTTTCAGTCACACACGCTGCCTTCTCTGCAGATGTGATTAGAGTTTGAGTTTTCTGACAAATCTCTGTTGCATTTTAATAAAAGGGAAAGTTGCTGGAGCCCCTCAAAGCGTGAGACACAGGGTTCATATTAATATGCAAACCACCGATGTTTTCATGGGAGCTTGTGTTAATTAGTGCATTAATAAGCAAATTAATGACCTATTTAGTAAAACTGCCTATTCAGAGGTGATTATGGTGGGACTTTGCAGGGCCTCGAGTGCCTCTTGCTGTCTGTTGAGTCGTACTCTATAAATAAAGGGCTGCATGGTGGAGAGGAAAGAGTGTTGCTGGTTTGAATCCTTGCTGCAGCCTTTCTGCGTGGCTTGTTCTCCCTATTTGTTATTAGCATTTCCTCTACTTATATTCATGAGAATCCTTTAAACATGACGCTAGAACAGAAATCTGATCGAGGACTTGAGTTTGCAAACTTGGGTCAGACCTCTAGTAATGCCTGAGCGCCCAAAAGCAGGACTGAAGGATATCGGTGACCTAGGTAGATCATAGATTGTGATGAAGAATGAATGAACTGATGAAGTCCCACAGTCACGTCTAGCTGTGATGCGATTAGATGTAAACATTCGCCCCTTTACCTTTAGATGATGACAGCTTCAGCACACCTTGATGCTGGATTATGGTGACGCACCCCATTACATCAGTAATGGAAGCAGTTATAACAACGAAATTGACTGAGAAAATTATTTCCTTTTGTATCATTGTTTTAACGCCAAATTCCCCATTACTGATAAGTGCATAGCATGTAAAAATGATGTCATTAAAATAGTAAAAACAGATTATTTACAAAAACACATCTCAAAGAGGTGAAAATTGAAAATAGACAGTGAAACGCTAGGATTTGAAATTCCTTCGTCTTCGTCTTCGTCTTCCTCCGCTTATCCGGGTCCGGGTCGCGGGGGCAGCATCCCAATTAGGGAGCTCCAGGCCGTCCTCTCCCCGGCCTTGTCCACCAGCTCCTCCGGCAGGACCCCAAGGCGTTCCCGGACCAGATTGGAGATGTAACCTCTCCATCGTGTCCTGGGTCGACCCGGGGGCCTTCTGCCGGCAGGACATGCCCGAAACACCTCCCCGGGGAGGCGTCCAGGAGGCATCCTGACCAGATGCCCAAACCACCTCAACTGGCTCCTTTCGATCCGGAGGAGCAGCGGTTCTACTCCGAGTCCCTCCCGAATGTTCGAGCTCCTCACCCTATCTCTAAGGCTGAGCCCGGCCACCCTACGGAGGAAACTCATTTCGGCCGCTTGTATCCGCGATCTCGTTCTTTCGGTCATTACCCAAAGCTCATGACCATAGGTGAGGATTGGGACGTAGATCGACCGGTAAATCGAGAGCCTGGCTTTCTGGCTCAGCTCCCTCTTCCCCACGACAGATCGGCTCAGCGTCCGCATCACTGCAGACGCCGAACCAATCCGCCTGTCGATCTCCCGATCCCTCCTACCCTCACTCGTGAACAAGACCCCGAGATACTTAAACTCCTCCACTTGAGGTAGGACCTCTCCCCCGACCCGGAGGTGGCAAGCCACCCTTTTCCGGTCGAGAACCATGGTCTCAGATTTGGAGGTGCTGATCCTCATCCCAGCCGCTTCACATTCGGCCGCGAACCTACCCAGCAAGAGCTGAAGGTCAGAGCTGGATGAAGCTAGGAGGACCACATCATCCGCAAAAAGCAGAGACAAGATTCTCCTGCCACCAAACTCGACACACTCCACACAACGGCTGCGTCTAGAAATTCTGTCCATAAAAGTGATGAACAGAACCGGTGACAAAGGGCAGCCCTGGCGGAGTCCAACCCTCACTGGGAACAGGTCCGACTTACTACCGGCTATGCGGACCAAACTCACGCTCCTCTGGTAAAGGGACTGAATGGTCCTTAACAGAAAGCCACCCACCCCATACTCATGGAGCGTCCCCCACAGGATGCCCCTGGGGACACGGTCATAAGCCTTCTCCAAATCCACAAAGCACATGTGGATTGCTTGGGCAAACTCCCATGCCCCCTCCATCACCCTTGCAAGGGTATAGAGCTGGTCCACAGTTCCACGGCCAGGACGAAAACCACATTGCTCCTCCTCTATCTGAGATTCAACTATCGATCGGACCCTCCTCTCCAGTACCTTGGCGTAGACCTTTCCAGGGAGGCTGAGGAGTGTGATCCCCCTATAGTTGGAACACACCCTCAGGTCACCCTTCTTAAAGATGGGGACCACCACCCCGGTCTGCCACTCCCTAGGAACTGCCCCCGATGACCACGCAATGTTGTAGAGACGTGTCAACCATGACAGCCCTACAACATCCATAGCCTTGAGATACCCAGGACGAACCTCATCCGCCCCCGGGGCTCCGCCGCTGTGTAGTTGTTTGACTACCTCAGCAACTTCTGCCCCCGAGATCGGACAGTCCATCCCCAGGCCTCCCAGCTCTGGTTCCTCCTCGGAATGCGCATTGGTGGGATTGAGGAGCTCCTCAAAGTATTCCTTCCACCGTCCGACTATAGCCTCAGTTGACGTCAGCAGCTCCCCATCCCCACTGTAAACAGTGTGAGCGAGTTGCTGCCTTCCTCTCCTGAGGCGCCGGACAGTTTGCCAGAACCTCTTTGGAGCCGATCGATAGTCTTTCTCCATGGCCTCACCAAACTCCTCCCACGCCCGAGATTTTGCCTCGGCAACTGCCACTGCTGCACCCCGCTTGGCTATCCGGTACCTGTCTGCTGCCTCCGGAGACCCACAGACCAGCCACGCCCTGTAGGCCTCCTTCTTCAGCCTGACGGCTCCCCGAACCTCTGGTGTCCACCAGCGGTTACGGGGGTTGCCACCACGACTGGCACCGGCCACCTTACGACCACAGCTAGCAACAGCCGCCTCGACAATCGCAGAGTGGAACAAGGCCCACTCTGACTCAATGTCCCCCACTGCTCTCGGGACGTGGTCAAAGCTCTGCCGGAGGTGGGAGTTGAAGACCGTCTTGGCAGGTTCTTCTGCCAGGCGTTCCCAGCAGACCCTCACTATGCGTTTGGGTCTGCCAGGTCTACGCGGCATGTTCCCTTGCCATCTGATCCAACTCACCACCAGGTGGTGATCAGTTGACAGCTCCGCCCCTCTCTTCACTCGGGTGTCCAAAACATACGGCCGCAGGTCAGATGATACGACTACAAAATCTATCATCGACCTGTGACCTAGGCTGCCCTGGTACCAAGTGTACCGATGGGCATCCTTATGTTCGAACATGGTGTTCGTTATGGCCAAACTGCGGCTTGCACAGAAGTCCAATAACAAAACACCGCTCGAGTTCAGATTAGGTGGGCCGTTCCTCCCAATCACACCCCTCCAGGTCAAGCTGTCATTGCCCACGTGAGCATTGAAGTCCCCCAGCAGGACAGTGGAGTCCCCTGATGGAGCACTATCTAGCACTCGTCCCAGGGACTCCAAAAAGGGTGGGTACTCTGAACTGATATTTGGCCCATAAGCACAAACAACAGTCAAGACCCGTTCCCCGACCCGAAGGCGCAAGGAAGCTACCCTCTTGTCCCCCGGGGTAAACCCCAACACACAGGCAGAGAGTCTCGGGGCAAACAAAAAGCCAACCCCAGCCCTCCGCCTCTCACCCGGAGCAACTCCAGCAAAGTAGAGTGTCCAACCCCTCTCCAGGTCTCGGGTTCCAGAGCCAATGCAATGTGTCGAGGTGAGTCCGACTATATCTAGCCGGTACCGCTCAACCTCTGCCACAAGCTCCGGCTCCTTCCCCGCCAGCGAGGTGACGTTCCATGTCCCAAAAACTAGTTTTCTTGTCCGGGGATTGGACCGCCAAGGCTCCCGCCTTGGTCTGCCACCCGATTCGCATTGCACCGGACCCTTCATGTTCCTCCTGCGGGTGGTGGGTCCACAGTTGGACGAGCCCATGTATCCGGTTCGGGCTGGGCCCGGCCGGGCCCCATGGGCGAAAGCCCGGCCACCAGGTGCTCGCTCACGGGCCCCAACCCCAGGCCTGGCTCCAGGGTGGGACCCCGGTAACCCTCCGGGCCGGGTACTCCGACTCTTCGTTTTAACCGCCATGAAAGATCCTTCGATTTGAAATTCCTGACAGATCTATCTCACATTGTTACTTGACATTCATGGACTCACCCATCTTGACTCATGACAGGGAAGGCTGTTCTGGTTATAGCATCCAGTAAACAGCAGAGAACGTCTCTGTTAGTAGAAGCTAACCGTTAGCATTAGCTACTCCACCACACAGCAGAACTCCTCCAGGCTTGTGTTATTTGAGGAGATCAAAAAATCTACGTTGCAAAGCAAACTGAGTCAGTGGTATAGTTTGGTTGCTGTTAGACAATCAGGCAAGATTTCTTCCTCCAGTGGACTCGTACTTCCCGATCCAGGCGCAGCAGAGCTTTTCTTCTCCTCTGGCTAAATTCTCCATGCTGAATCAGGTGCACCAGAGCTTTTTTTCTCCCACACTATGACTTACAAGGCATTCATTCCTACTAGAGACCACTGCAAATGTAATAAAACATGATTGAAGGACCTCTTTAATATTTTTAATATCTTTAATATCAACCGATTGGACGTTTGCACCTGCGATATATTGTTTCCTGAATGTCCTTTTGTGTTTTCTTAAAGTCAGGCCCACAGCTGTTTTAGGACTGCATTCAGCAACGGCTTAGGCATGTTGAGATGTCATGTTGATGCTGAGACGATCATAGCCCTTTAGCCCGACAGCTCGGGTTTTGTGGCAGTCAGCAGAAAGAAAGTCATTCCCAGCGACCACTACTCTGAGATTCTTCTGAGCTCGACACCACTACGTTTGCACTGCTGCTCATTTGTGAGCTGACTTCATGACAACTCCAGCAACCAAGTACAGGTGTCAAATCCTCACAGAGCAGCAAACCTCTCAAACTTCACTGAAATATGTGTGTCTGCAATTCTCCTACAGCAGAAATAAATGATGAATCGATTACCAATTCAGACGTTATTTAAATAAAAATAACATTTGGCGCCCTTTAGGGCCTTTAATGGACACAACCTAATAATTCCAGGATCACCACAATTGAGAAATAACTAGAGATATAAAATAATAAAAATAAACCAAAGAAAATAAAACTGAAAACAGAAAACATAGTCATTTATTGCAAAATACACATAAATGTTTGACTTGAAGCTTCATTGATTAGTAAAAATTGGAAAACATTTTTAAAAAGTGACTTTTTAAGCCTTAACGGGTTAATTTCTCTTCATCATAAGGATTCTACTGAGTGTTTGCAGCTGCTGATATTCTAATTAAGCACATTTCAAACAAGTGGCCTGTTTAAAACCTCCTCCTTAGAAAATGTGTCTCCTGCAAACCATTCATTTATAGGTACGTTTATGAGATCAGGGAGGAGTTTAAGAAGCTTCTTGGAACAAAAGAGATAAAAACACATTGTGATAACAAACCCACAGAGATGCTGCATGAAACATTTTTATCCGTCTGAGGAGAACAATACGTATGTGAGGGGTTTCCACCCAGCAGACGGCGTTTTCGTTGCTTTGCATCACAACATGGTGCTTTGTGAAACAATGGAGGCTTCATTACGAATGCTGACCTTTAGCACCAGACGTGATTTTAGTTTTGTGCACTAAACTTTACAAAGAGCCAAACAGAAGGAACCTGAAAGGGGTCGCCTGTGTCTGAGTGAGACTAGATTAAAGAGGGAATCTCAGGCTTTGGGCTTCACTTTGAACAGTTTCACTCCTGAATCTTCCTGTAAAAGAAAAATACCTTAAAGGAATATTGGGGTTATTTTTTACATTCATGATTATTATGAGATCAAACCCCTTGTTATTTTCTTCTTCTTGTGAGTCATAACTTTATGGTTTATTTAAAATCATATTAAAGACTCTGATTTTGCCTAATGTACAGGTGGAACTCGAGAGTTGAGTTATTTCACTAATTCAACTTAGACTGAGAGACAATTTAAAGGCTCAGGAACCATTTGCAGGTTTCAAGTATTTATTTGTTATACTTGTGATGATTGTGGCTTCCAGCTTATGAAAACCACACATTCAAAATCTCAGACGATTGGAAAATTGTGAAGAGGTTTAATATTCGAGACTCAAAGTGTCACACTCTAATCATGAATCCAGAACACCCGCAGAAGGTTCCTGAACCTTTAGATGGTCTCTCAGTCCGAGCTGAAATAATGAAATCAATGAACCTTTGCGCCACATTCTAACTTTTTGAGTTTCCACCATAAACGGGCTGGGACTCGGATAGGTTGGGTACACTCCACATGTCCAGAGAGCGTCTATGAGCACAGCACACTGTGAAGTTCACTTTCTCCAGAATCAAGAAAAAAAATGTGCCAGGTGTGCATTACACAGGAGGACAATAATGACAATTTAGTACCCCATGCTATCACCAAGCTACGATGGTAGCATGTTGCTAAATAATAAAACATGCTTAAATTACACGTGTAAACAACAATGCCACCTGTATACTTTCAAAGGCTCTGGGAAGTTCTCATTAAATTTGCCCGGTAATCTGCAGGTTACATTTTAGTTTAATGCTTTTATTATTGTGTGGTTTTGTTGTGTTGCACTGTTATGTTTTGTGATTTTATCTGTTTTATTTTACTGGATAGTGTGTTTTTATTCTGTTCAACACTTTGGGGTTGCCCACGTAACTGGAAGGTGCTATACAAATAAACTTACCTTGACCTAATATAACAAACTACTACAAGAAATGACGTATCACCTTTCAGAGTCAGAGAATTTCAAAGTGCTTTACACTGCAGTGTATCATTCATCCATTTACACACACACATTCACACGCTGGTGGTGATGAGCTACAATGTAACCACAGCTGCGCTGGGGCTCACTGACAGAGGCGAGGTTGCCAAGCACCGGCGCCACCGGTCCCTCCGTCCTCCACCTTCAGGCAGGTGGAGAGTCTTGCCCAAAGACACAACAGCAGATTTCTCTGCCGGGAGCTGTGATTGATCCCACAACCCTCTGATTGTTGGACAACTCATTCTACCTCCTGAGCTACTCCTGCCTCGATGTTAGCATCAGCTGCGTGCTAACTCCAAAAATAGCAATATCAGTTACTCTCCTGGGTGCAAACGTAATCAGTAGAGGTTGTAATTGGACTCTGACTTAACCTATAAGACCTGCTGACTTGACTTAGACCCGACTTAGATTATTCCTGTGTGACTTGGAATTAAACACTCAGGACTCGAACGTGACTTGGACTCAAGAGATGGTGACATGATGAGAACTCGGCTTTGTAGAGCTTTAGCCTGAATGTTGTTGTGCTTCAGAGCTGTTGATGACGCATTTTATCAAATGATTAAAAAGCTGCTGTGGCACAAGAACTGAGATAAGAGTATTTTCGACAGAATCAGCTGAAAATAAAAATATCAAAACATGAAGGAAAATAGAACATCAGTGTTTTGCAGGGCTATATGTTCTTTATAGGTTTGTAATCCTGGGGAAATCGTTTACAGTAAAATCTCTGACTCCTTCAGTAAAAAATAAAATTATTACTTATTTTGTCCACCCATTTAAAGTTGAGCCTTTGACGTTTTAATTTGTGTTCCCAGGTGGCTCTTTGTGTCCAAACAGCAGTGTGCTGCAGGAGGTGCGGAACTGTAACGAACACGCCTGTATAGTTTATCACTGGCAGACGGGGCCCTGGAGCCCGTGCACAGAAGACTCCTCAGCCTCATCACTCAACGCCTCTGGAGGTGTCCGGCCCAGCGGCGACGGCTCAGGTCTCTGCTCCATGGGAGTCCAGACTCGAAAGGTCATGTGTGTTCGGGTCAACGTGGGACAGGTCCCGCCCAAGAAGTAAGCTGCTTTTAGCTTCGTTCAGATTTGATGTGTGTATTTAAGGCTTTAATACACTGGTGCACCGAAAGAGGGGAGAAAACATGTATGCCGTTTGCAGGAAGAGGGCTTTTTTCTCCTTAGCGCTGACATCTCTGGTATACAGTCATTTAAAACAGATGACAACTCTATTCTTACAAAATATATCCTGCTTGGTTCCACAAATAAAAAAAAATCATGAAATAGTATTTGAAATGTATGCATTGAGTAGTAACTTGGACCTTACGGGACAGAATTATACCTACAGATGTGCACCCATCAGGTATGTTTCTATAAAAAGAAAGCCAGAGTCAGAAATCATGGGACTAATGAGTCAAAAGGGTTGAGGAGCTGAGAGTCAGAGCTAAATCAGGACTTCTCTAGCTGAGCTGGTTCAGTAAGCTGAGCACATCTACACGAGGTAAACTCCCAGTTCTTATCTTCACTTTGCAGGAGACCACAGATAAATAATCTCTGTCCCTGAAAGCCCCTGCCGTTTTGGGCGCGGGAAACTTCTCATTGATGATAATGACAGTAATTAAATGGGATTGATACTTTGAGGCAATTTAATCAGGAGGCAGATGAGAGACAGGATGTTTGTGGTTAACTCGGAGGAGGACCGCGCGGCATGAGGCGAATTCAAAACAGACCAGTTTACTTCAACATCAGTCAGAAAGTTCAGCTCCAGCCGGGTGTCAGTTCTGCTTGACTGATCTTTCTGACGACAGGGAAGGGGGGGTCTCAACCCTCCTGAAGACAGGAAATCCCCTCAGTATCCTCATTGGTGAAGAGAGGCTTTTTTTGTTATGGACAATGTGATTCATGGAAACGGATGATGAGATGACTTTGTGTGAGTCAGCTGTCTGGCCTTCTTACAGTTGATCTGCCCACAATTGACTCGCCCACAGCAAACCTGCTCGTAGCTGACCCGCTCACAGCCGTCCTCCCAACAGCTGATCCACCATTGGCTGACTTGTGCATAGTGTTATAGTATGAGTAAGAGGTTTCAGAGACTCTTATTTCAGTTACTGTTTGCTTTGCTTGACAGTGACTGGATATAATCAACTGTAATTATGGGCAAAGGAGCAAATGTGCAGGAATGTAATCAACAGAAGTCCTATTTTATTAAAATAGTTGAATTCAGGGCCTCAAAATGTGTTTTATTTTATGTAAGGTTAATTAAAAATCTTACATTTTGTCCAAAATGTGTCCTATCTGAAACTCTTGACTTGTATCATCCTCAGTGTACACCTGTATTAGGTGACCCCCTTGAGCCATGTCCCATCTCTGTAGTAAATTATTTACTGTTTGTTTTTTTCTTGGCCTAACTTGCCGTCCCAAAACAACAACAAGAAAAAGACAACAAAAGTTAATTGTGAAAGTTATCAGTATAGCATCAATAATTTCGCTGATGCAAAAGCTAACATTTTTCTGGTCTGATTGTCAGAATAAATGCAGAATATGTGAGAGATTTAGGGTCACGGGCACACAGCACATACAATATTCAAAGTAAAAATATTTCTTTTAGATAAAAACAAGATTGTTTTCAGAGAATTAATTAATTTAAGAGGCCAAATAAATAAAAAAATGCTATTTGTCAGGAAAAGTCATAAAGGTTTAAACTAGATCCAAGAGATTAACAGTTTTTAAAAGATTTATTGTGATGTTTTTGTTTCTTTTCAGTTTTCATTTCATTTTATTTCACAATTTTTTTTAAACTTTATTTATTGTAAAGAGTTGGACGTTTATTAAGACCTATCAGTCATTGAGCCCCATAATCAGGTATAAATAAATAATTTTACGAGTATTTTTCTCTTTAAATGTACAATTTGCCTCTTTTCTTCTTTGTATTTTTCCACATTGAGACTAAACAATAGTTAATCATCAATTTAGTTACATTATTATTCCAGTGGTTATTCACTCTACTACAATTGTTTACAACAAGGTTTTATGGTATGTGACTTAGAGAAACTGGTTTTAGTATAATGTTAGTTAGGGCTGCACAATATATCGTACATATATCGTTAGCGCGATATCAGCATGCACAATATGCATATCGTAAAGAACAGAAAAATATCGCAAAGAATGGTCAGCTCAGATGTTTGCTAAACATAATGCATTATGTCAATCAAACGAAAGCATTATGTTTCTTCACCCATTTGGCCAGTTGGGTAGGTTCTCATAGGTTAGATGCCCGCCCCCGAGGCGGATGGCACTTCATTTAGATGGTTAGCAAAGACCAGAGTTAGCTTTGTTCTGCTCTTTTTGCTCATTCTGCTTTCCCCTGGATCCACGGATTGCCTTTTCTTCATTTTATTTTCCCTTTCCTCACATCTTTTGCTTTTCTCGTTTTTATGATTTGAAATTGTTTTTGTTTTTGATGATTTTTGTTCCTGTGTTAAGTTTTTATTTATCGCAAGTAATATCGTCATTGCAATATTAATCACTGTTATCGAATATCGCAGGTTTTCCTAATATTGTGCAGGACTAATGTTAGTATAATATTCTGGTGTTATTGTCTGGGTAAAAGTATGTATTTTTCACATCATAGTGGAAATAACAATTATCAGTCTTTCTGGTAGTTCAATCTTCTCAGAAAACCAGTTACATGTGTGTTATGTTCCCAAAAGTGAGATTTTTAAGTGTTTGACAGCTGTGGCGCTATCCAAGGTGCTGAACCCCATTTCCCCATATGGCGTTGATCAGTTTGTCCCTTTTAGATTATCCAACTGTTCTACTTTTTATACCTAAAGAAAATATTTTCTTTAATTTGACGTATTTTCTTTAAATTGCTGCCTCGGAGCTTCAGTAAATAACTGTAAACAAAACCTTATAGGAGAACAAATTTGAATCCTCATCACACAATTAACCAAGTTGGGTCCCGTGAAGCTGATTTCCAATTATTGTGTTAAACTCCAGGTCTGGTAATCAACTCGTTAAATAGGACGTTTTCTAAACAACAGGAGTTCATTAGCAAAACAGGAAGAAGCCACATTACATGTCCTGATGGGGCGAAAGTATTAAAAGAGTCTAAACATAATTTCATTCATCAAGTCAGATAAAAAATATAACAACATTAAAAAGACAATGTGTAGTTTTTACTGTTAATCTCTGGAAATATCCATTAAAACGTTGAAAAAGAATAAAATGACGTCCAGCCATTGAAAAATAGTTGCGGCTTCTTAACATAAAACCATAAAAATCGGGTCTGTAGTATCTGGGGCACGCCATATTAGACGCCATGTTTCCTCCTAGCCAGCTCAGAGTCCTGCGCCTCCTGATGAAATCACACGAGATGATTGGCTGGATGACCTGCAGAAGTTATGTTACCACATACAAACATTTAGACAGTAAGAAATATAAATGTAATAACAAAACTGCTAAACTCTTTTCAAAATGAAAGAACTGAATCAAAAAAGAAATGCTAGATATTTTTGGCTGAGCGATATTGCCGTAGTTTGCCGTCATCTACAGGCACAGGAACCCGATCAGATCCAGAAATTACAGCACCAGAAAACTAGCGTCAGCATTGCATTCTCAATGGAATTAACCCATCAAAGTTTGAGGAGTCGCGCTGAGATCGCATGTTTTCTGCTCCACAGATAAAAACATTTACCGTAATGCTTTTTTAAACTACACAGACCAAAAATATAAATGCAAAACTGTAGTTTTTGCTTTCATTTTTCATGAGCTGAACTCAAACATCTGAAAAGTTGTCTACATACATAAAAGAACCACGACTCTCAAATATTGTTCTGAAATCGGTCTACATGTGTGTTAGTGAGCACTTTTCCTTTACCAAGATAATCCGACCCACCTCACAGGTGTGACATATCAAGAGGCTGATTAGACAGCATGAATAATGTACAGGTGTGCCTTAGACTTTGCCTTAATGAATAAATATCTGTTTTTGTGGAACCAACTCCTGCTAGAAACCAAACAGGTGCTCTCTTTTCAGACTTTAGAAGCTAAATAGATTTAGCATATTTTCATGACAACTGGTTTTAAGTGCTTTAATCGTATTTAACCCCTGTCATCATGTGGGTTTTAGATTAGGATTTATCTTCTTGCATGTATTACTTTTAATAGGTTTTTGTTAGTTTTACGTATGTTTTATTCTCTATTTTATTTCTTGCTTGTAGTGTACAGCACTTTGGCCTACACATGTAGCATGAAGGTGTTTCATGAATGAATAAATCAAATGAAATTACATGTAGGGAGGGATTTGTGTTCTTGATGTTTAGTCTGCTTTTGTCTCTGAGTGTCACTGATTAGTTGATTAGGGCTGATTAACTTAGATGTTTTCTAACCTCTAAATTTTCATTGATTAGTTCTTTTTTTGTAACAAGCAGACAAATGCACCCATTATGCTGCATGAAATGACTAAGACACTCTGGAGTGCTGGTTATCCTTTTTTAACTGTTGTTTTGAATGGCAAACCCATCTACCCCTTCCTTTATTTCACCTTGGAGTTGATGCATTTCTCTATTCAACATTAAAAGAAGAGCTAGGTGATTTAATGTTACAGTTGTTAAACAAGTTTATGGGGCAAATTCCTGCACAAACATTTAACTGTTTGGTTTTGATAACTATTCACCCGTCCACTTCTGATTAAGAAGAAAGGTAAATGACATTTTAGGAAGCAACAAAGATCGTGTGCAGTTTTCAAATATCCCGTAAATCCAATGTAGACGGATTAGCAGTGGTATCTTCTCTGAGAATTGCAGAGTTTGACCTGGGAGCGAATTGGATGATCAGTTCTCTCCTGGGTAGATCGGCAATATTTTTTACTTGAGAATTATCTTTTTGTCCACAGAACCCCTTTAGCTCAGACTGATGAGCAGCCGTTACTTATCTAATGTTTCATTTAATGAAAAAACAAACCTTGAAAGTCCTCTGACTCCCTGTTGATGAGTAAATCAATGCATTTGATGAGCAGCACCTGGATGCTATTTACTCAGCTCATTAAATCTGTCTGTGTA